TAAGTATTTTAAATTGTAACCTTGTTAAAAATTATTAAGTATTGTTTACCAAGGTAATCATTCATCCTTTGAGTGAGTCTGCTGATCATTGTCAACAAACAAAAGTGAAACGTCGGTTGTTTTTGTAGCCTTATGTAGGACTGAATTAACCGAGCGGTCTATTAAATTGGTTACAATTGAATGAAATGAATTTGATTTGATCGATGGATAAGAATTAACTTACGATGTGATCCTTGCAAGTTGACCGTACGCTCAAAGAAATTTCAAAAAAGAAGCTTTCAAGGATATTCGTGCTGCGCCAGGAATCAAACTCGTGCTACCGGATAGTGCTTGGTTGCTGCTACCAACTGAGAGACGGAGGGCTAAGTGTCGAGAGCGACGTAAATTTTAATGGGCTCTTCAATATCGTAAAAGGATTCTGATGACAATTGATTCAAATAAATTGCACTTCATTCATAATTACCAGTTCCTCGATTTCTTTTTATCTGTGCAACTATGGGGAAATGGATTGCCATGTATTCTCTATATTCCATTTGGAAATTGACCAGGTATCATTTTCCTTCAAGCCTGACAATGAACAACTGAATAATTCTTGAAATAAGTATTGGAGTAATGAGTAGAAGCAAGAACGTCAGTCATACCCTCACAAGCGGGTAGTGAACGAATAGATGCAGCTTTTAGAGGCGATCTTAACTGAGAATAAGCTGGTCTACCTATTGTTGAAGAGAGTATAGATTGCTTTAATCTGGACTTCTGAAGCTTTTTTTTTAAACTCAACTATAGGGGTGTAAACGACAACGAGCTCCATACGTTGCAGGAGGGAATATTCGACAACTTGACCAACTTAACTGGACTGTAAGTGTATACCAACTGATTAATTGATTGATGAACGAGAGTAAGCGTCTTTTACCTGTTACATGCGTGTTCACTAGTATTAAAAGATTAAGTATTTACAGGAATCATGAACGCAGATTTCTACTTTGACTTAAAAATCGTGATCGTGATTGCAGCACGATGCTATATGAACCATGATCCAGCTTTGCAGATCAAAAGTTATGATCAGGGTACATTGTGAGCTCCTGTGAAATAAAAGCAATAAACTTTGAGTAACCGAAAACTTTCCATTTATAACTGCAGCGATCAGTTTTTTTGTTTCAATTGGCAGACGTACTGCCTAAATACATTTGCGACGTCGGAGAATACAAACGGGCGAGATGTATGGAAAACCTTACATAATATTCGTAGTCCACATGTATCATGTAATTACAATTACACTAACTTAACTGAGCCGATGTACTTTTTCCTATTGGGTGATAACTCATCCTCTCCAATTTTTTATATCTCCAATAAATTTTTACATCTGAGGCCGGAAATCTGACTAAGAGATCGTTAACTATGTGATCAAAACTGCAGAACAGAAATTGATAGCGCCCAATGATCGGACAACTTAGTCGCGTAAAAAATGATTTTCAAAGGAGGTAAATATTCGAGAAAAATTGAATTAAAATCACTGAAAAATCAAAAATATCTGCGGAAAGTTTTTAAGCGTTACCTAGGAATTCTTTTCTCATTTTTAAATGCACTGCTTATGAGCTGTATTTGTCATGCTGCTACTCTGAGTATTCTCTTTTCGCAAAATACAGATCTTCATTTCGAAAAATAAAGCTTTTTATTTTGCAAATTATAGATTTCCAATTCGTTTCGTCATGTTTCGTTTCGAAAATTACAGTAGGCCCCCGCTACGTAAGAATCAGGAAGAAAAAAAAAAGCAACAATTAAGTGATAACATGAAAACAACTGAGGCAAGGCTGCATGCAGACGACGGACAAGAACTTTGAAATGTTAAAGAAGGCATACGTCTAAGCATCCAACAACGTCTTGTAGTCTTTTCCAGAAGCTTATTTGCTTCATTGCTGCATTGCATAAAAGGAACAGTTCTGCCTTTTTTCTTTCCTTTGCCGCCATCACTTAACTGATATCCTCCATCCCACAAATTACTTTTCTCTCTTCCACATTGAATTTCCAGAAAGTTTCGCTTATTTTCACTAGCACGGCACTTTATTTTCTTTACCGATGAGAGCAACTTCCCACTTAACCTCGTTCTCGCGACGTAATTTCGGCACCAGATTTTTTAAATATCGCGAGAACACTGGGAATTGCGGAAATGGTCCATTTCAAGCAAATTCGTTGAGCGTCACGTTCCATTCAAGATGTTAGCGGACTGGCCCTCTATCACGAGTAACAATTAACACAATGAAAAATTGTCGAATACCTGTGAAGAAATACTTCCTGGCTGGTCGTCTCGGCCAAGCTTAGGCTAATCAGAGACCTGTTGACGAATTTAAGATTATTTAGTTTGTTAGACTGATGGAGTTAACTAGCTTGAGAAACTCGTGCAAACGGAGGTACCGGGAGTTTGTTAACGAACTTTCATTCCCTCTCTACTTAATGACTCTAAATGGCTCTTCATCTGAAAGATGTCTCGCAGCACAGAACAAACCAAGGCCCATATGATTCGCACAAGGATTTCAAAATCATTTCACAGACGTAAACAATTCCCAAACACTTGGCCGGAACATTCCTGATTTTAATAGTTCCCAAACAATTCTAATTTTAGTAGCTCATAGCAAGTTCATTAGAAGATGCAGGGTGAGCAGATGTAATATAACATGTAGAGTGCTTTAAAATGGGTGAACGTTGCCCTGTTAGCAAATATACTCAATAGAAAGCAGCGGGGGGGAAAATAATAAACAAATAGGAAGTAAATGTACCTACGGTCAATTTTCAAAATCTCAATAGTACAATGTCCTTGTTAGTAATGACCTGCCTTCGCCATTATTTATCACAGGCGGTTTGAATTCAGACAATTAAAAGAACTACCACCAAACGTTTTTGATAAATTGACTCAGCTATAGGACTTGCGAGTAGCACACTCTATATTCTTAACAATGCAGATATTTCAGATTGGTTAAAAACGGGAACAGAACCGACCCTAAATTTTACCCCGATTGATTGAACTTCAAACGTTCTCTTAATTCTCTATCAGACGTAGTTGATATATAATTATTTTTCATAATGACTTGCTTGAGTATCACCTTAGCTTACGTGGCTTTAGTGCTGAATTGCTTTGCAATGAAGTACTTAAATGAATGTGGCTGCAGCCAAATACATCAGAAAATTATTTATAGAGGAATGGGACGTCAACACCACTGAACTGACTTCGGAATAAACTTTTGGCTGTGGCAAGTCATGTTTTACCTATGTGGTGTACTCGCGGGAAACCCGTCCAGGGTCCTTTTTTGACATTGACTGAAATGCGGTGAACGAAGTGGAGTTTCTCGACCGAGACAAACGAGAGATGTAAACTTATGACATCATTCCGATGGCTGTGTGATCGGGATAGCTGTACCAAACCAAATCATCCAACATACAGCTCAGATCAGATTGTGAAAGGGGGTAGTGTGCAGCCTCGTGTGGCGTAAATACTGTGAATACTAAGTTACCGAAAACTCTCCATAATTGCAACGATTAAGTTTTTGTTTCAATGCGCATACATGCAGCTAAAATACATTTGCTATGTTGGCGAAGGCATACAGGCGGAGTGTATTAAATTAAAAATTTACCTTGCATAATATTTATATTCCCACTCAGTGGGAATATAAATATTATGCAAGGTAAATTTGAAGGTAAACGCATAGGGCCGAATAAAACGAAGGATTAATATCACTGATATTTTCAGAAGGAGTATAGAAATTGCCCGAGCCGTGCAGCGACTTCGTCAACTTCTGAAAACATTAGTAACATCGATCCCAATATTTTTACGACGAAACATTGATTATAAAGGGCAAAGTTTTATTTTACTATGGTCAAAAATGGACGCTGTCGTGCAATTACGTAGAAAGCCATTTCAGTTTTCAGTTAGCAGCAATGAACTTAAAAACTTTCGAATCAGCTGAATGAAATTTTATTTTTTATAGTAACGCCAAAGCAATGACGCCAGCCTTCCTAACAAACGCACGTACATTCTGACATTCATAACTATTCTACAAGGTAGAACAGCAGATCAAAGGAACAGTAGATTCAAGTTTCATAAAAAAAGGCTTATCAGGAAAAGGGTCCTTTAGGAAAAAATAAACTGAATTAAGAAGTTTTTCAACTGTCAGCGGATTCTCAGTATTTACGGTCAATGGCTCTTAACGTAATTTAAGTTTCAGTATATTGTGATCATAGTTGTACCTCGATACATGGTAAAGAGAAGACAAAATTACCGCAAAACATATTTAGTTAGCTTTGTAGATTTGAGAGTATTCTCACGCGCACTATACATGCCTAATATTATTCATGCCTAATATTATTCATGCCAACTAATTGGCAATTCTTATCGAGGACTTTTTTCAATTCTTTTACGAATTTGCATTTGTCAAGTTTTATCGCATCCATCGCCATCTTTTTCTCTCATTGATACAATGACTCGTAAACAAATTACTCTTAAAGAAATTACCATGCAGGATGTTTCTTTAGTATTGCCTACAACATTCACTTTGTAGGCGGTTTTTTTCTTATATTTCTTATTTGGAAATCATATTACAAAGACATGAAAGCTAAAATGAGGATTTAAAGTGAGGATGGTAGAAGCTTATTTTCACCTTAAACTAACTGCAGGTGGTTACACGCCAACAAACTGCAAAGCCTTCCTTCTACGATATTTGGTAACCTTACCTCCCTGAGAAAACTGTAAGTACCTGTAACTTGCAATTTTCAGTTGAAAACTTTTTCATCAATGCTAACGTTCTCATGCAAACGTTGAATCCTACGTCATAAAAATCTAAATGATCTGTGTTTACCAAGAATATGATGACACGTTTTTCCCTGAAATGAATTCTAAAGGTCAGAGAACTGATGTATTCGAACTAATTTTCCAGTTCTTAATTGTGCACCTTAAAACTTAACCATTTAAGGTATGGGGTAACTGTTTAAAAATATTTTACAGGTCCTTGTCCGTTAACCAGCTCAGTCAACTACCACCGATTATTTTCAAGGAAAATAAAAACCTAGAGTGGCTGTAAGTAGAAAACGAATTACTCTTCATAGTTACTGAAGCTGTATAGTACTCAACAGCGATCGATATATTAGACCAGAGGTGAATATAAAAAAGGTCCTAGATTCAGACAATCATTCCATATAGATTTCCTTTATCTTTTCCTCTCTTCTGAGTAAGGAAAAGTGCGTCAGTCAGTGATCGAACGACTAAAGCTGAGGTCACTGGACTTACGGGGAACTTATATTCCTCTAGATATCCCGGCAAAGAAGTTTGAATTTTTTCGTGATTTACATTGACCTGTTTATTTTCCCCCTTGATTACTTCCAACTAGTTTCACGTTGGGTTAGTTAGCAGTTAGCGTTGATAGTCCTTGCGGCCCTGCGGCCTTTTAATTAAGAACATAAGACAAAAATCCCCATATAAGGGCTGTAGCGACGACTTGAGTAAGGCCAAAAAGCCGTGCAGCCTCGCGAGGTGCGAATGCAGAAGAAATGAAGAGAAAGAAAGAGTGAAGGTCTTACGTGCGTCGCCTACAGATATCTACGCTACATCAGTTCCTAACCAAAGTCAGAGACAAGGACAAGCCAGAAAACAGACAGGGAGCTTTTATAAGATCAACTGCTCATACTGCAAGTATCCTTTATCGGAAAAACTTCAAAAACAACCGCATGACTGGACACAAACGAGAGGCAATAATTGATGACGTCAAAATTCACATCGCTGAACATTATTCACTCTATGAAGACACTATCAACTGGGACTCTACGTAATTCCTGACCTACAGCTTCAACTACTTACGACGACAGATTCTGGCCAGCAGATTTACTACCTTAGAACAGACTTCCCTCAAAAGATGTCTAAAACTGCCAATATCATACAAACGTCTTATTCACGGTATTTGCAGACAAATAGAACCGAAGAGAACGACCTTTAACGACGGATCGAAGCCGACCAATTACGACCGACTAACGGGTACTCGAGTCTTGCAGACAATAACACCATGGAAAAACTGACCAATCAGTATGCACGAACCGGACTATAAACAGCTCGACTGACAACAACTCTTCACTAGTCTCTAATGAAGACTTCTGCTGAGGTTGTGCAAGCGTCATTCACCACTTCCCTCACCCGGACGATCAGAATACATGATCAAATGTTACTCACAGGTTTAAGACATTTATGGTACCATTATTTTTGTTTTCTGTTTTATTTCTATGAACAATGCAGAGAGTTGTCCGACAACAATCTCAACGAATTAACTGATAACCTGTTTCGAGGAATGAAGAATTTAACAAGGCTGTAAGAGAAACCTTTTTAAGATCCTAATAACGTTATGATTAAAGGAACTTTCTGGCATGGGATTTAAACTTGTAAAAGCAAATCCTGACGACAGACGTTAACGATTTTTCACTGCAGGGCAAGAAGACTAATAGGGAAATTACAATTTATGACAAGCCAGCTTGCAAAGGCTGTTCTATGATCAGACTTTTATACTTCTCATTGATCATTCCAAATGATGGTAAAGGCTGCAAACCAGCTCGTTAAATCATCTATAACCTTTACCCAATTTTTTTGGAGTCTTTCTGTTGTTATCCTCTATCAGTCCATTCTTAACCTTTATCTAGATTGTTTTTCCTATTTTTATACTGTCTTTCCGCATATCTCTCCCTCCGTTTTCCCCGCTTCTCGTTTCAGTGTGTTTATCTGTCTGGATATCCATTGATTCTCTTGCCACTCTTATAGGTGGTTGCGTAACAACAAACTGAAGAAGCTAACCCCAGAACTGTTCACAGATTTAATCAGTTTAGATGACCTGTGAGTGAATGCGTTGAAGATTAAATCTAAAAGCCCTTTGATCTTATATTTCTACCTCCTGAAAAGTCGTAATTTGTCAAGTTAGACTGACTGAAAAGGGAAAGGGGAAATAAAATTGTTATTCCTAAATAGCACCATGAACAAATATGTACACTGCAAATATTGTGACATGCCATTCTGACTTAAGAAAAAGGCTTAGTTTTTCGGTTTTATTTCCTTAAAATTTGGAAGAAATCATGATGAAATACGCATTAAAGCAAATCAATCTACACTCAGATGTTAGGAAACTATCAATCTATTTAGTGCAGTGAAGGGGGGGGGGGAAGCGTGAGCCTCTGAAGCCCTCCCCCCTCTACCTCTCCAAACCCTGTTGCAAATGTAAAAGAGCCCAGTGCCCAGTTTGAATATCATCAACAACGTATTTACTAACAGTAACTTTGGGGGCTGGCAGGTCAAGTTTCGTTACCTTCTTAGCCATAACGAGCATAGGTTTTCTTTTTGCCTCTTAACTTATCAATTCCTAAACGTATCCAGGTCAAAGCAATGACCAAAAGTAATGCAAACGTCTGCTTTCTAGCTTGGCCTCGAAAGTAATCAGTCTTACCCATTAGACAAAGAGCACTTGGTTTCACTATTCCCCGGGCTAAGCAGGATCTGTTTCTGTTGCGATTCATGAAATAAACGATTGCTTTCAGGGATCTGTCAAACAACGAAATTAAAAATCTGCCCCAAGGACTTTTCCAAGGTTTAAAGAAGCTTAAACAGCTGTAAGTGATGAATTACATCTAAGAATTCCTTAGTTTTGGAGAATGATTTAAACATCCTTCCTTCAAATATAAAACTCAGAAGTGCTAAATCTTAATTAATAATGTTGATGTCACTCACCTTTCCAACCAACAATTTTCTAAATAAGCTACAAGGCAAGCGCTTTCATTAACAGGGGGACCAGGATTGGGGAAAAAAAAGATAATTAAAGCAAATGTTCAAAAATATAAATTTCAACAAAGAACATGCAAGAAGAATAAAGATTTGCTGGTGTTATTAGATACTACCTAAGTTCTAATAAATGTATATGAAACCTTAAGTTCATCAAGACTTAAAATTTAAAAATCAAGAGAAACAAATTGATGAAGAAAACTGCTAAAAAAGAACAAATCAAATATAAAGTAGTTTCTAATGCACAAAATTTTGAAACAAAAATTCTAAATTTACCATTTAGTTTAATTATTTCTTCGTTCATTCATTCATTTAGCTGTTGCTCTCTCACTTTCTTATTTATTTATTTATTAATTTATTCATCCTTTCACTTGCTTAGTTCAAATACAACCTTTCTGATAAAAACAAATACCGTTGGTAATTATCTTTTTGTAAAGGATAAAGCAGAGGTTTTTGTTGTCGATTAAGGTGATTCCTCAAAGAAAAAAAGTAACCGAACATACAAGTAATTTTTTTTAAACTTTCCTTAAACGTTCCTTACCAATGTCTCTTTCGAAATTACAATAAAAGGGATAGGTCACCATGCTTGTTTTGGATGATAAGCCAAACTTACCCCACTTATACCTGTACTGGTACTAATCACGCGCGTCATTTCATCGGTTAACGGTACGTTTTTCTGCACTGGGTTTTTAAAGTAACACATGTAAAAAAATCTTGATTGGTAGAAAGTGTCCAGCGCATGGCACAATTGATATGTAATTTCGGGAAAATCACGCAAATTTAAACATGTTCCTCGAGTCGTTCCTTTCAAGGTTATAATTTGCATCCTCGAGTAATGGGCTTCGTGCACGCTTTTAGCCTTATCTTTTTTTTCTTAAGGAATAATTTTTTTTTTAATTTCCCCAATTTAAAGTGGAAAAATTTTGCACCAAAATTATGCAAAAAAAAAAAAAAAAAATATATATATATATATATATATAGGTCACCGTGCTCGTTCAAGAGCTAAAGACCATCGTACCTCTTTTCCTGATCCATAGATTGAAAAACAATACCGTGTGGGCGCTCATTCCTCTGATTACGTGATTTTTATGCGCAATACAGGATGCACAGTGCAAAACTGAGGAATTACCTCAGGCAAAGTGTTAAAGCAGATTTAAGCAATCGTATTTGATTGGAAGAAGCAAGTATCGGAAGTAGCTATGTAATCAATAAGCAACAGGTTAGTCCTCGATCCTCCTGAAACGGTTGATAGCGAAACTAGACTTAACTTTCAACTTGGTATCTAGTTTCTTTTACGCTATCCCTGTTTTCCATAGGATTTTGTCAGGCAATCAACTCGAGGAACTACCCGGAAATATTTTTGCCAACCTCTCCAAGCTGTTAAATATGTAAGTCATCAAGCACTACACCCGATGTCCCATGAATAGTGTTTTCGCCGACGTCACAAAATGTATTTTTGAAGAGATATACTATGTTTCACAGTGCTCCAAAGCTTTCTTCGTCGCATTTTCATTGACTTATTATATGCCACAGAAAACTGGACAAGAACAAGCTTAAGAGCCTCCCCAGGGATTTGCTTCGTACTCTGGTCAACTTAAACGGGCTGTAAGTTTTGTGATTGGGTTCAAAGATATCACTTACTTTAATAATGACATATTGTAATCCGCGAAAGCATTATCGAACCTAAATAAGTCCTCTAATTTAAAAATATGCATAGTAAAACTATTCCTTGGATTCAGTTTCTATATGAAAGTGGATCCATTTTTTAATCTCGCTATCGCGCGCTGTCTTTGATTGAAAGAACGTGTTCTAACAGAGTACAAAACACGGAGCTGAGCTAAAGCTGTCACGCTATCTGCCAATGTTTACTATTTTTTTGTAAACATGCCATGCGCCGTGATTGATGTTATTAAAAAACGTGAGCAGAGACGAAAATCCTCAAAGAGAAAATGAAATGGGCAGTCCGAGTTTCGAAGGTTTTCACTCCCAGTGAGATTGTGAGCTTTCTTACGGCAATAAAAATCAAACATAGATAACACTCGTATAGCATATATAGTTTCGTGTTCAAAAACAAAATAGAACCAAGCAGGAATCATGAAAAACATAACCAAACTGGCATAACTGTTAAAATTCATGTAAATCATGACGGTGTCAGAGCGACTGCGATCATGATGAGGTCAATCGCGGCTAACTGTAAATTCGGCTGTCGTTCATTCAGTAAACATACGACTTCAGCAGTTTGTTTTCTAGTTGCCATGTGAAAAAAAATTTGCGTGTCTTTATGAGCCACAATTAGATCGGATTTAAATGCACATTTCACTTTAAGATTCTGTTATAAGACTGAAAAACTTCTGGCAACAGTATTAAATTCGACCTGCCGAACGTACTATTTCAGTTTGTGAACTAATACAGATTGTGCACTTTGATGGTTGTAAACTTTGATTGTTTGACATTCATTTTTGACAGCTTTGGTCTTATTCAACCAATCAGATCATTTGAACCATTCTAACAAGGATTCTGAAACTTTATTGATTTGGCTTATTCTAACTTGATTCATGAGAGTATAGAACATGCTGACGGCGCTTTTGCTTGCTTCTAAAACTACAATTTGTTTTGAAAATAGTAAGTAATGCGTGGGAAATTTGACGGATTCTTTGTTATAAAAAAAATAAAGACAACTCCATCAAGGGCGTGGCAAAACTGAATTGCTCCCATTTGTACTAAATAATATCGTTGGAATATGCTACTTTGAAAACAGTCTAAGGGATAACGCGGGTGAAAAACTGATCGAGACGACGGGGAGTTGTCTGTGATACTACTATCACACTATCAGCTGACTCTAGATCCACGATATCTTGTTTGCCTCAGTAGCTCGATATACCAGGGTTTACTTTGAATAACTGTTGTAATCCGCAAGTTTTGTGTCTGTTCATGCTCTGTAACTATTACTTTGTAGCTACCATTTAGTTTCCCTGTTGATGCACGTGTTTACATCTCGTACCCGTGGTGCAAAGTCATGCCTCTAACAGATAAACATTTATTCGTTTGCCTAGCCAGTCCAATAAAAAAAATTTGGGCATTTATCTAAAACATAATTTACATTTAAGGTATCTGTCCGAAAATAACATCGAGAATTTACCCAAAGGGATTTTCAGCGGCACGAGAAAACTTCAGGTTCTGTAAGTACAACATTTGCAAAAATCACCCGATGGATTTTTCTTTTTTTGTATGCTTAAGAAGCACTCCATATCATCCGATGCCATATCATACTATGACATTACCGACCACACCACATGTAGATTACTGAGGATCACATAAACCATCTCACGGCCACACTTTTCCCCATTGAATCACAGCACATCATATCATTTTGAAACCTTCAAAACTTCTCAAACTTTATAATTTCTGAAACCCTCAACGAAAGACATACCGCACCACACGTCATCATAAAAAAAGAACACCATAACACATTACATCACATCACACTTTGCCATGTCATACCGCACCACAGCACACCATATCATGAGAGGGAACACCGCAACACATCACATCACACTTTAATAGGTCATACCACACCACAGCTCACCATATCATGAGAAGGAACACCGCAACACATCACATCACACTTTGCCATGTCATACCACACCACAGCACACCATATCATGAGAAGGAACACCGCAACACATCACATCCCACTTTGCCATGTCATACCACACCACGGCACACCATATCATGAGAAGGAACACCGCAACACGTCATATCACACATTATCATGTCATACCAGACCACAGCACACCATATCATGAAAACGAACACCGCAGCACATCATATCACACTTTTCCATGTCATACAACACCAGAGCACACTGTATCATCAAAAGAACACCATAGCACATCACGTCACACTTTACCATGTCATACCGCGCCACACCACACCTCAACATTCTCGTCATACCACGCAAAACCACTCTTTACTAATTCACACTATAACAAATGATCCACAACACATGACGCCACACAAGACTTTCCCGTGAGCAATTGTCCTAGCCTCGTATTACGGTGGATATTAAAGTTGTGATTTTTTACTTCCTAACGCAGACTTTTTTTTCTCCGCAGCACTATTTCTGATAACAAGATTCCCAGTGTCACCAACGAAAACTTTAATGACCTTCCAAAATTGGTTATTTTGTGAGTATATAGCCACTGATTAAATTTATCATTAGACCACCACATCATATCTTAGAGCCCACTGGATCTTACTGGGCTTACTAAAAATGAAAATTGGTTTATAACAATGACGTCCTGTAAAGAAAAACATTTCTAAATTGAAAATCATGAAATAAGAACATGGTGTTCTAGCGTTAGCCTTATATTTTTTGCAAAAATACAGAGAAACCGTAATTACTCTGTTTTCAGTTGTTGTTGCTGTCGATTCCCCTACAAGAAGATCCTGAAAAGACTTTTTAACCCTTTAACTCCAACGAGTGACCAAGAAAGCATTTCTCCCTACAATATTAATACAATAGGGAAAACATCAGTAAGGGGATTATTTTTTGAACCAACACCAAGTTCTCCAAACTGACAATATAAGGACTGAATGGAAGGCAGAATGATTAATGTGATCTTGGGAATGAAAGAGTTAACGACTAAACTGCTTGAATTCCAGGGAATATTATCCTACTGCAGTTAATATGTCGCTGGTACAATAGTACAGCTTATTTTTAAGAAAAGATTACCGGTATTTATTGCGAGCACAGAGCGAGGGGCCCCTTTAAAGAAACCGGGATTGCCAGTTTACGCAAACCTTATGGTTTGTTTCGAGATTGACCTTGGTTAGCAATTAGACTGAAATCCAGGGACGCTGGGCTATAAAAAAGGATGAATCTTCACGGCGTTTAAACATAATTTAAACACGCAACAAGGGGGCACGCATTTTGACATCACGGTGCAGTTTCAATTTTTTTATCCATACCTATTTATCGATGGTAGATGGTATTTTTAGGAATATGCAAAAAAACCAAATGTCTGAGCTTCCTAACGGGTTTTTCGATGGAATGAAGGACATCATGAAAGTGTAAGTTTTTTTCCGTGGTCAGTGAAACGTACAATATCATATTATATTATATTATGGACTTGTCATTCAGTTTCCTGCATTATTTGAGATTTTTTGAAAGGGTGGAGGGGGGCCGACTATTCAACATCCACACGCAAATATTTAGCTGGTTTAGGTCAGTTTAACCTACTGAAAACTTGTAGCTATACAGAGATTGTTGTTGAAGTTACAATCTTTTGCAATTATATGGTTTCCTTTTTCCTTTTTTGAGGCCCCATATAATCGCAGCCTACCTCACTTAGCTTCAAAATCAGCGGAAAGTTTGGTGCCTCAAAGACCATTCGATTCACTATCCCTAGATTGAGCCAACAGCAACCTGGAAAATAAATTATACCCCATATTTTGATCATGACCTTTCAGTGTGAGTGACAACATATCTTTTGCGTTTTTATCCTCGCTGTATTTGCCCTCTACATTATGGATTATAGGATAGTGGACACCAGTCTTATGTGTTGTCATCTGACAAAAGAAGACGCCCAATGCACCTCTTTATACGACGACAGCTTCGCCAGTTGCGAGAGCATGTTCCGCGACTCAGCTCCACGTAAAAGTATTTGGGCAATCGGAATCCTTTCTTTGCTTGGTGCTGTGTTCGTAATTGTGTGGCGTCTAATCTTTAAAGAGAGAAACGTAGTCCAGCTTATCATGTTAATGCACTTAGCAGTTGGGGATTGCTTGATGGGCGTTTACTTGGTCACCTTAGGTGCCAAAGACCTGTTATGGTCGGGAAGTTACTATCTGCATGACTTCCAGTGGCGATCCGGTTTGTCGTGTCAGGTTACAGGTGCGATCTCAGTGCTGTCCAGTGAGGTGTCTGTAATGATACTGGCGCTCATCTCTGCTGACAGGCTGAAGAACATCGTTTTCCCATACCATGGCAGAGGGCTGACTCGCAGGAAGGCACACATTCTGTGCGCGATTATTTGGGTCCTTAGTTTTGTCATCGCATTCCTTCCCCTCAGTGGCATTGGCTACTTTTATGACGCCCTAGAGCGCCCTGCCTACTACGGACGTTCCGTTGTGTGCCTCCCACTGCAACTGTCCAACAGGTTTCCAGCTGGTTGGGAGTTCTCCATCGCTATCTTTGTCGGGTTAAACTTCCTCCTCTTCCTGTTCATGACGGTGGCCTATGTCGCAATTTTCCTTAAAAGTTATCGCTCCAGCCGTCAGCTTGCAAGGGAGGGAACCCGACGAGAGGTGCAGGCAAGAAAGAAGAACGCAAGTTCCAGAAGGGAGAGAGCATTGGCCAAAAGAGTCTTCTTTATCATCCTCACAGATTGCGCCTGTTGGATGCCGATAATAGTCATGGGCATCAGGTCTTTGGTTGAAAAAGATTACAGTCCCCGAGGAGATCTTCCTGCCTGGATCGCCGTGTTTGTGCTGCCAATTAACTCAGCCTTGAATCCAATTATCTACACCCTATCAACCCCTCAGGTATGTCAGGGACGTAAATTAGTAAAGTGCAATCGACGTATTACTCCACCGTGTTTATGCGTTAATTACGTATTCTCGCGGAATGCTTAAAAGTGGTAATGAAAGATATACTTCGTAGGCTTCCTAGGAAAAAACCTTATCGTGGAATTATCGTCCAGTGGAAGAATTTTTTCATAAAAGAAAGAAGTAGGTAGCTTATCAAATGTTGCGATTGCAAATGAACACGGCTGTGACATTGAATTTCAAAATGATTTGTTTCACACAAAAATTTCCCGCTCCTTGAAAAATATTATTACAAATATCTGCACATGAAATTTCTGAAAGCTACTTGAACAGTTTCTCATAGTTCATGTTGAGGCATTTGGAAAATATCAGAACTCGATAAATGGCCATGCAACTTAACAGGCTTATTCTAGCAATCGGCTCTCCTTGTGTTTAAATTGTATGATAAGCTTTATCACTGTTTATGAAAGTTACATTTGTAAACTCTCTATCATATTCTATCTTAATTTATACAGATTTAATGAAATATTCACTTTTCATTCCCCTAATAGGTGCAGGGCATATTGCGACCTAAACTGCGAATTTTGATGAACCATGTGCGCAGCTTTTTCTCTTGCTGTAAAAAACAACAAGATCATCAAGGTAAGGTTTACCATTTTCTTTAGTCACTGTTAAGTCACTACATAGGTGGGAGGTATCATATTTTTGTGATAAGAAAGAAAAGCTCATATCAGTTTGCCTGAAAATAATATGGCTCAGTGCAATTAATGGAATTAGAAACTTGATTACATCCATTTTGAAATCACTGGTGGTCCTTGTAATTTGATTAGCTCTGATTGGTGCACCATTTCTTGCTTTAAATCGCATCATTTTCCCGGCCAATGAGGAGGCTACGCTGAAAACAAAACAACCAATCAGATTTCAAGGCTTGTATAAAGTAACCAATCTAATTGCAGGAAAATGAAAGACGAAGAGTATCATGTGGCAAATTTTGCAACCTTTGTTTCCAAAACTCTTGTTTTTTAAAATGGATGTAATAAAGTGGTAATTGAACCTTGTGCCGTGCAATTTTGGTCTGAAATCATACTTGTGATTTCAAATCGAACTCGCGCTATGCGCTCGGTTGATTTTGAAATCACACGTATGATTTCAGCCCAAATTGTACTCCACTCAGTTCAATTGCCATTATTTATCACATTATCGCATCAATGGAAAAGCTCAGTAAATATAATAAGAACTTATCCAAGGTCACTTTTAGAGTATTCACAGCATGTTAGATTATATGAGCATACATATATATATGAGTTTACACGTATACATGTATAAATATGAATATTTATTGTACATGTATGTTGATTGGTCACGGTAGATCAGGAACAGGGAGACGATGGAATGCTAGAAATGGTGGAAATGGTGCAACTTGGACAAGCAGATCCAGAGCAAGGTAACTTCTGTTAAATTGATCTTTGGCATTTATCCCGACAAACCAAAAAGAATAATCTATGAATACAAGATACATTAGTTAGGAAGCTGATTTATGTCAAAATAATGGATGAAGGACCAAAAAGAAAACTTTTTATTCTTTAATTTTCTTTATAGCTTTATTTATTTATTCAATATACCTTTGGTGGTCGTGTAGTAAGAATGGATGCCACATTAACAAAACTTGTTTTGCACAGGTTGTATCGCTATTTAAAATAAGAGACCTCACTTTAAACATACTTGACATTAACAGTATACTTTATTAGTATTGGTACGAAACGACCGAGCTGGGTACTAAACAACTCAACTGACTGGATACGAATCGACCGGGTATGAAACGACCGTGAGCCGGTACGAAACCACTGGTAACCAACTCAAATTAGGTGGTAACACCTTTATCTGTTTTTTCCTTAACGATATTGGAAGAACTTGAAGAAGAACTCCCATTAATGAGTTGCAAAAGCAATAAAGAAATAGAAACAACTGATTCATTTTCTGTTAGGTGCAGGCCAAGTTAACGAGGAAGAACACGTGCTGCCGGCTGAAGCAGGTATTACAACAAACAAGACCCAACATTGTCTTTATTATCGCAATGAAGTCCTTAGATTAAAAAGATGGATATGCCTCATTTGATCTTTTAACGTGGAGTTCCCAAAAAGGTTTTGTCTGTTGATCAGTTTACTTTTTTTGTCGTAATTCACAATTTTTTTTGGCTTTTTTAATTAACAAAACTCGACGAATATTGTAAGAAGGCGGGAAAGGCGGGTGACCTGCGATGAATCAGAATGATTGTTGCATACAAAGGAAACCCGGAACAACTTCGCCGCCTCGTGGGCCAATAGGGTAGAGAATGAATTTGACTTTACTTTAGCCTAACTTAAATGTGTTGGAACAGTTATGAAATAAACACACAAAGTTTAACTGTTATCCTGAAGTAGATGTCACTTATTTGTTGTGTTCGATATTTGCAGCTCAAGAAGAAGAAGTACATTTGTTGATTGGCGGAGAAGGTGCTTTTTTAAAGCAATTTTATTTTTGTTAGACTGCTTATTGTGACACATGTCACACTCGATCGTGAATATAAGTTTTTTCAACTAGCGTTGGATAAGGGATAATGTACTGTGAACATTTAAGAATATTTCTGTTGGATAATTTGATACCATTTTGTTGTTCAAGCAGAAAAAGACGAAGATGAGGGCAACGGAGGAAATTTGCAAATGGTTGTTGTGGAAGGTGAGTCGTTCTCTGAGAGTCTGTATCAAAGGACATAGCCTTGAATGCTCTTTCAGAAAATAGTAAGTATTAGTGGTAAAACCTACAGAGAGTTAAACGAAACGAACCTGAGAGGACCCCGAAAGCATTGCGCTGAGACTTCTATCAAGAAAAGATCTGAGGGGTCATCATTTTTCCAAAGAAAGAGGTGCTTGGATGCTCACTTTGTTCATCTCTGTCATGGAAAGGAAATCTTAATGTCATCAATATTTTCATTCGGAGCTAATACATTGATTGCTAACGAGAAAATTAATCTTAATCTGTTTTTTTTCCATTTCAGTTCATCCATACAAAGGACCACGAGATAATGCAGTCCAAACTATGACTTATGGACAAGGTAAAGTTTTCATTGTACCAAATCAGTTTTAAAGCGGTTCATAAGTCATCACCACTTCTTAATTTTTGTCTTTTTAATTTACGCCAAAGCCACCTTTGTAGTTTTTTAGTTCAACTACTTATATTTTTTCAACTCCAAATTACGTTTTCAATACCAAATTAACCAATTGTCTTACCGATTGACTTATCAATCAACTTACCGATTAACAAATATCAAGGTTTTGTTTCCTTCTGTTTCAAATCAGAACAAAAGCAGGATTCTGAACAGGACAAGGAAGGACAACAGGCAGCTTCCACAGAACAACCATCAACTTCCTTTGAGGGTGAAGAAGAAAAAGAGGCCGTTGAATTTGAAACCAAAAGTAGTGACAGAGATGATCGAACTACCTCGGACCGACCATCAACTCCTTTGAAGGAAACCAGCGAAGAAGCTATTGAACACGAAGACAACAAGAGAGAAGAAAAAGAGAAAGAAGAAGAAAAAGAAGAAGAAGAAAAAGAAAAGGAAGAAGAAGAAAAAGAAAAGGAAGAAGAAGAAAAAGAAGAAGAAGAAGAAGAAGAAGAAGAAGAAGAAGAAGAAGAAGAAGAAGAAGAAGAAGAAGAAGAAGAAGAAGAAGAAGAAGAAGAAGAAGAAGAGGAACGTAAGATCGCTCCAGATGAACCATCTGCTCTCTGTAAAGAAACATTTGAGGAAGCTAAAGAATACCGAGACACAATGGGTGAGGATGATGAGAGCAAGAACGTCCCAGCTAAACCAGAGTAGTAAAACTACTTGATATGACACAGGCAGTGACTTAACTAAAATATAATTATAAACGTTTTATGTAGCACTTAGATTTGTAGTTTCGAGCTGGAATAAGCAGATAGCGAGAAAAGACAGCAAAACTATACAGAAAAAAAAGTTCAGTTACTCCACAGGATCGTAAAGACTACGGTGAACTAGTTCGGTAAAATTGGAAAAAAAAAAGTCACTCGCTGAATACAAAGATACCTAGACACGTATTTATCTCTTGTTTTACTCAGAAGTTACGATAGCATTTAGCATTTGCAACATGTATACACAATATGTTGGTAGGAGACGGTTGAGGTCCTTTTTCTTGCATGTTTCCGAGTTTCATTATACTGGTCTATTTTAATCTTCTCTCTCGTCAAATAAAATTTCATGTATTGCTTTTGCTTACAATGAAAAAAAGATCAGGTTTTAGAACAATTTTGTAGCACCGATTAGAAGCCGTCTCTGGAAAAGTAACATACATTCCTGAAACAAGGTGAAAACGTTTGTGACAAACAAACAACAGAGAGGCTTAAAGATGTATGGACAATGAGATTGTAATCGTGATTAAGTAAGCAACGCTGTTAAACCACATGATTATCAATAAAACCGTCGAGAGAGTTTAAGTTACTTTGCCTTCTAGAGATGACTTGTTACTTTGCGAAAAGTGATAAAGACAACACACTACCATCTGATTTGCAATGAGGTAGAAGCAGAAGTAAGGAGTTTATTTGTGTACCGTCTGTCGGAACATAAGGGGTGGCCTAAGATTTATATTCGACCGAATGCGACTTCCCTTTCATGGAAAAAGTGAAGAAAGTTTCGGTAATACCTTGAGAGCGGGACGGATTATCAGACTTAAAACTGTAAAACGCATTAAAAACCAACAACAAAAATCAATCAAACAAACAAAAAAAACTAAAAAAATTAAGTGAAAGTAACTGGCAACCTAGAATTGGCACATGGAATGATTGTTAAGCTCAGGCGTGATAATAACAGTACTTTGCTCTTCTCCAATCTACATCGAGTCTGTATGGATTGAAAAAAAAAAAAAAAAAAAAAAAAAAAGGTGTACTGAGAATTAACCAGCGTATCCTACTAAATCAGAAGTACATTGATGAGACGAAAGTGCAAAGCTGCTTTGCTATTTCCATTGACCCCTGCAAGTCTCGTGCCCACCTTAAGATACCCCAAGACAACCCACGGAGTTCTATGAGAGAAACTCCCTCCTTACCCACTCAGCTCTGTCTTTAAGGTTTTTTAGTTGATTAATCCCGCCATTACTAGCCCCTCTACAGGAGTCCATACACCCTTTAATTTTCATTTTCTCTTAGTTCAGGCATCGACGAATCCAAGGAACTTAGTTTTAAAACCTTAGTTTTAAAACTAAGGTGGAAACGAATTGATATGATCCCTCACTAGATTTCGCATATCAATAACGCTAACGTCTGGCCCGTTGGCGTTTTATGTTGTGACTCAAACAAACAGAAAATGCAATCGCCGTAGGAAAACGGAGTGACAAAATCATGAGCTACGCAGGCGTCTGTATTGCATAGCAGTTTATTTTGATTACTGTTACAAAGTCTGTATTGCCTAGCAGTTTATTTTGATTACTGTTACAAAGTCTGTATTGCCTAACAGTTTATTTTGATTACTGTTACAAACAAGTCCGGGATGGATCTATCCTTACTCCTTTACCTTAGCACGGCATCAACGTATTTGGATGGCTTCATTGGAAAAATAAATATTGTATCTCAAGCAACCAAAAGACCTGATATTCTCTTAAAGCCACTCAATGCCGGTAAACATAAGGTGTGATAAGTAATGAAGGAATAGAAAAGCTTTGTATTAGCAAGTGTCCTAAATTCTCGAGGTCTTTCAGTTGAGGCTAAAGAAACGAACCTGAGAATCAAAAGAAAAGTAGTTCGTTCCCTACGGCAATTTCACGTTACTTTACTCGCATATAAAGTCACCACACAAACCAACTATGAATACAAATTATTAATCTTGTACGGTGTTAGTCTTACTATAAAGTTTTACACTATTTAAGTAGAAAGCTGATCTATGTAAAACAGGTAATTTAGTGTTAACAACTGAGTTGAAAACGTAAATTGGCCACCGTAAAGAGTAAAAAAGCTGACGTTTCGAGCGTTAGCCCTTCAGTCAGATCGTCAGAACGTTTCGAGCGTTAGCCCTTCGCCATCGCTCTGACGAAGGACTAACGCTCGCAATGTCAGCTTTTTTACTCTTTACGGTGGCCAATTTACGTTTTCAACTCAGTTGTTAACACTAAATTACCTGCTATACTCTCCCACCAACGTAAAACGTACACCCTTTATTCTATATAAAACAGACATGTACTGACCTTTCGCTATTCGAAAGATTAAACTGAGTTTATAAATGAAGACTATCAATCGTATGGGTCAGCGAGCTATGACACGCAGCTTGTGACAAGCACTGGCTTTTGGTGAAGATTTTCGAATTTTGCCTTACGTTTCCAACAAGAAATTATTCAAAATATGCGACGGTGGTATTATCAAATTTAACTACCTATACCGATATCAGTTACAGGTCGTTGACTACGAGATAATTTCTGTCAAAACACGACATTCTACAACATTTCACAACATTTCATCCTGGCCACGCGAATTTTCCCTAGGGACTGGAGAGACAGAATCTTGTTGATCTGCTGACCGTAAGGCTTCGCGGGCAAGAAAGTTCTCTCTCTTGACTTGATTGTCAACTTCCTTCGGAACATCGGGGATAATCCAAGCCAAGATTGCCGTCATACCGAACACGATGTGCTGCACAAAATAACAAATTAATAAGACTATCAGCCAAACACAAGAAGAAAGATGGTAGGTAGGTTTCTTCAACTGAACCGTTTTTTTTTTTTGGTTGGTCAATTTTAAATGTTTCACAGAACTGCTACAAAGATCAACCAGGAAACAGAGAGGAACACAGATAGGGTGGAATCTTCTTTTTACAACATTACTGCAGTAATCTCCACCAACAATTCTATTTGTAGGAAAATACTCCGATTCTCAGTATCCCATCAGGTGCATCATAACGAGCGTCCCACAATTAAAAGTGGACACAAACTCACCAGAAAGGCAACCACAAAAAACAGCTTGGCCGCCAAAATATGCCAATAGGCTGTCGAGAACTTGTAAGCATTCGGATTTGGAAGGGTCGTGTTGAGTATTGTAATTTTTGGTCGTTCATAATACCCTCGGAATCTAAAATGCAAGCACACAAGACCTTTAAAACTTGAGTTATAATGGATGACTTATGATTCTTACAATAGTGTCACCAAGCGTCCAGCAAGCTTTGACAAATTAATGAATCAGTACACTAATCAGTAAAGGCGATTCTTTTTTCTGCAAGAACTAAACCATAAAACAGAACCCTCCTTGTTATTTTACCTGCAGGTAGATAAATTAAACCCACAACTGTTAATTCTTAGGGGGAACTCAACAGCAGCAGCTCCAGAAGGTCTCTCAGACTCAGGAAAATCATCCACCGCAAAACACGACAAGGTGTGGTTCACAAATCCTTCCAAGCTGTCGTTGTGTTCACCTAGGGTGTAATACAGTCTGGGGACGAATTCGGAAACAAAGGCAATCACAAAGCCCTAACAAAAAGGGTAAGAAAAAAACAAGTTACCGTGATTATACATTGTGGCTTTCCTTACAATAAGTTCTCTTTGGTTTTAAATCAAAACGCCGAGTACGACATGTTTTTCACCTTTGACAACAGGTAGAACAAAGAGATAACTCTCTGCTGTATTCTGCTCTTTAAATCGCTGATTCAAATTATTCAAGTATGCTTCCTTCAACTAAAGTGACTCGAACCGCAGCATGCAGCACGTACGATTAATGAGGCAATACTATTGCTCAAGTTCTTTTGAATACAAACTGTTTTCAAGCAAAATGAGCGGTCCTTGTAGAACATGCTAAATCATTGTCTGTCCGCTTGAATTTGCAAGTTACCAAAGCAATGAAATATCTCATCCTATTAGGAAATCCTTCATTTTTAGCTCTTACAGGTCAATAACTACCACCAGGTGACCAAATTTGACTATATTATTGTTATTTGATTTAAGTCAGGACCAACCTTTTTTGCTCGAACATGGGAAAAACTGTCTCATTAATTTTTTCTTTATTCGATAAAATTGGGGGAAAAAAACAACTGTGTTTGTAACTGAATCTGTCGCCCAAGTAATTTTTCTCTGTTTATTTTCCGTTTTTCAATCCTTAAAGAAATAATATTCAAAAACGCACAACTTTGTTAAATAGATTCTTACATTTACGACCACAGAGATCTTCGTAACGCCTTTCAAGATTGCGTACCAAATTCCTGTGAAAACAAAAGGTTTTTTTTTTCAAGTGTTCTATTCGGTAGTTCCTAAATAGAATTTCAATTAATAAAAAATGTTTAAGACCAACAAAAATAATCGGCCCTCTCTTCAT